TTTTGATTAAAAAAATGTCTTTTTTCACTTTCTTGCCAACAGATAAATGCAATATATCTTTGTAATAGGCATCAGTCTAGTTTAGCCATAGGACTGGAAGCAAAAGGACACAATAACCCTAACTGAGGGAGCCTTTTACTACTACTAAATGAAATGCATAGTTGCAACTAAAAATTCTAATTTAATGATTTAGATTTTAGATTAGATGTTTTGATTGGTTGTATTGGCATTTTAATATTGATATTTAGATTTAAAGCTGTGTGTAATTTAAACTGACCTTTCTATTGAGTTTAAATAAAATTCAAGTTTTAGCAAATTAATTAAATTGGATTGATAACAACGGCTGCAAGGTGGAACAGTGGTTAGCACTGTTGCCTCACAGCAAGAAGGTCGCCGGTTCGCATCCCGGTGAGGACACCGGGGTCTTTCTGCATGGAGTTTGCATGTTCTCCCCATGCAGTGTGGTTCTCCAGCTTCCTCCCACACAGTCCAAAAACATGTTGAGGTTAATTGGTGATTCTAAATTGTCCGTAGGTGTGAATGTGAGTGTGCTTGGTTGTCTGTCTCTAAGTGTAGCCCTGTGATAGACTGGCAACCTGTCCAGGGTGTCCCCTGCCTTCACCCTAAGTCAGCTTGAATAGGTATTTGTGTTTATCGTGTAGGAAGGTCTGGTATTTTGTGCACTAATAGAGGCTTCTGTTGGTTGGAGAAACATTACACAAGTAAGATCTTAATTGGCCATCTTAGAATTGGACCCGCACCAGTGGTAGAATGTAACTAAGTACATTTATTCAAGTTCTGTTCTTAAGTTGAGTTCTCAGACAATTGTCCATCCTACGTTTTGTCAAAAAAAAAAAATCCTTCTAAATGAAGTTTGGTTGCTTTTACATTTGTTTTTTGCTATTTTATGCTTCTATTCAACTATATTTTATTACATTTTTTCTTTTGTGCTTATTTTGGACCATATAATTTTACATTTAAACTAAAGCAGCACATCATAAAACAATATCGTCCTATAGATGAAACCACTCAACAGTATATCATTTTTCTTTTTTGACCAGCCTAAAACATGAGTAGTTCATTAAATTGCACCCTGATGCATTAGTAATACTAATAATCCAATGATATAACACTATAAAACTGCTCCAGTCGACTTATAAAGTACTTTGATGCATCACAATCATTTTTGCAGTTAATACTTTTTAAAAGTTTTACTTCAACAAAATTATAAATGCTGGACTTTTGTATGTCAAAAGTTTTTTTTTTTTTAAGTGAGTTATTGCCAACAATGGTCAACAATTCTTAGAAAAAAAACAAAAAACAGCTTGTCGTCTGAATGTTACTCCCGACTGACTGGTAAAGGTAAAACTAAATAAAGTAACTCCTTTCGCAAACATAAAGTACTCAAGGTCACAGTGTAAAGCTGAACAAATGAAGCTACTTTTCCTGAACAAATAAACGAGAGTCAACCTATTAATTAGGTAATCTGAGTTTCCCTCCTGCTTCCAGTCTTTATGCTAAGCTAAACCAATTGCCATCTGGGTCTGACTCTGTAAAATAAGCACAACTGTTAATTTTCACTTATTGTTTCTTAATTCTTAGCAAGAAAAGCAATAGTATAATGTCGAGTTGTTAAAAATAAAAGGAGAATCTGATTTCAAAATGTTAAACTTGCAAATCAGCCTTGCAGGATAAAACCATAGCTCTGGTGATGGGTGAAATCACACGGCACGATCAGTCTATAAGAACAGCTTCTAGCGCACTATTTGGCCGTGTGATTAAAGGCTAAACAGGATGGAACACTATGCAGTCAGTCATGGTAATGAAATAAACAAAAAGAAAAAGAAAAAAAAAAACAACTAAACAAAAAAAAAAACAGTACAGCCATTACAGCCAGGTTGGTGTATAAAAAAATGTTCACTTAAGGCGGTTCAAGTTGGTTACACCACTGATAAAGCTTTCCACATTTTTTTTAAAAGTCCATCCTAAGAAATGCAGAACAAGAAAGATATTGCATGCCTCGCGTCCAGCTGTTTCGTGCACCCTTTTGCCAACTTAAGGTATAATGGCACATGGATCTATCACTGTACTGAACGTTAATAAATAAATAAATAATATCATCAGTGAATCGAGAAGCCCGTAAATACATAAACAAGTGAAGACTTTGTTTAGCAACAGTGATGTGTGGTGCTTTAACCCCCCACTCCCACCCTCCAATCAGCAGCAACATCCAGTTCAGTCCTGGCTTAATGGGATGCTTCAGTCTGGTTAATGCCAACAGCGGGTCCAATGAGTAATACAGGGCAGCAGCCTTTACTGTCACTTTAATTGAAATGTTGTCACTGTAGTCGGAGCGCTGTTAAGGGAAGAAAGCCTGGTATTTAGCTCACTTACTGCCTCATTAGCCATCTGCTCTGGACACATTCAGTTATGTGACTCAGTCTGTTCCAAAGGTTGCAGAGGCAAACGGCAGCCAAATTGCAAGCTCTTACTATTTTGACAGTTTGTTTCGTGAAGATAGAGTGCTTCAGAGTGGAGAGTGTTATTTAGGGAAGCCTTGGGAAGGGGGCTGGTTGCACAAAGACACACTCTGACTTCTGCTCAGATCTAAACAGTTCAGATGGATGTAGAAGTTCTTCAGCTGCGCAAAAAAAACCCCAAATTGTCTTGCTCATGGTGGCAAACTCACCAGTCAGGAGGCTTCCAACCAAAAGTAAAACAAATCCCAGCAAATCAACTGAAAATCCACAAAATGTTATGTGAATGTTAGGAGCTAGTTTTCCAAGAAAAGTTCAAATGGTGCAAAATAATGCAGAAAATATGATGGAAATATGATATTTCTGTCAGTTTCATGTAATAATGTGAGGAAAGTTTCCTCATTGCACCAACGTCTTCGTAGCATTTCCACATTTGTTTTTAAATGAGCTGACTCAAGATTTTTTATGTGCAGCCAGTTATACAAAGCTTTAGCCTTTTTTGGTTCATTGGTTTGGTTTTCTGGACAACAAATTACACCTTCATCAACCTCATTTAGAAAAAAAAATCTGAAAAAACCTCCGATAGCTTGCTGAGGGACAAATGACAGAAAGACAAAGTGTGTAACTAGCTGGTGAACACAGTGGAGCAAAGATCTTGTATTGCCGAACATCAAATGAATGATAATAATCTTGGGATCTGCTTGTTGAATAACAAATTAGCCAAAAACAACTTTATAAGGTGAGAGGATGTCAAATATCTGTAACACGGTACCATTCTGTCAATTACACATCTCTATTTACTTTGGAAATTCAATTAAGTCTCTTGTTCCGCTCATTGGCCGCTATTTTTGCTCTCTGGAGAAGCAGTTACCAAATCAGAAGTTTTGTAGGTGAGAATAAGACTGGGGACATCGTAAGATAGCCAGAAAAATGGTGGCATGTATGCCATGGACAAGTCAGCTTGCAGAAACAACAACTTGTAAATCTTAACATTTCTTTACACCGTAATAAACGTTAAGTTTAACCTTTCGAACCCCAAAGTCCGCCGAGAGGTTTGAAATGGGTTTTTATCTTATCTATTATCGCCAGAATTCCACAATTTATCGGAAACAAAACAGGTCAAAACAGAATAAATCATTGGATTGTCAACTTTCAAACAATTACTAAGCTAATCGTGTATAATGAGCAGGTCTAGTCTACACTTAAAATTGCAACATTTCATCAAAATTGATTAATTGAATATGTCTCATTCTGAAATTTGTGAAAAATTTCTGTCGGCTCTCACCAGATGCTGTAAAAAACAAAAAAATTCTGATCTCGTCAGTACAACCGGAAAGCCACGGTTGAGTCGGCTGTGACCAACAGAGAAAAATTCTGGAATTGTTTGACTGAAATGGGTTGAACTGCAGGCTGTGCTTATATAGTGAAAAACATGTTCTGCATCTCTGGGTTTTGTTTTGTTTTTTTCAATTTTTGTAACTTAAATATTAAAAGAAATTCAACTTTCATTGGCTTCTATTTGGCTATGGAGATGGGTCTGACTTTGTGAGACTAATGAGACGCTAAATGAATGCAATGAAAATGAAAAAGCAGTTCAATCTAATAGATCTTTCACTTGGCAGACATTTGGACTTGTCATAGGAGGGTGAGCACAGGTGCCGTTGTTTAATTACCGATGGCTCAGTTCCATCGAGTATTCCAGTAACCCATGACAGTAAACCAGCGTGAACAATAGCAGGACCTTGGAACTGGCTCACCTAAATGGAACGTAATTGTTCTGAATATTATCAGTTACCCCTGTGCATCTTCTTCCATGACACACGTCTGCTGTCGAAAAAGGTCTGAAAAATATTAATCATAAAACTTTAAGTGGAAGTAATTCACTAAAATTCTTGTGTAAAGACTGACTGGAAACCTATCAGCTGAGTTAAACTGTGAATATCCAGCTGAAAATGTGTGCTTTTGGAAGACTTACAAGGACATTTAACAGAAAAATCAGTGATGAGTGCAGCAGAGAAAAAAACGTTTCGATGGAAAGATGCAGCATTACTGTTGAAGCTAACACAAAAACACAGAACAAGATGCAAACAAACAAGGGGTAAGCTGGAAAGCTTTGGAATATCATGAAATTTGGTAGGCGGTCGCTTTTGTGGATGGTAGGCAAGTTGTGTTACCACGGGATGTGGTGGTGAAATTTTTAAGCTGAAAATGAGTCTGTTTTTTTAAAATTTTTGTATAACTGGTAGTAGACTGAGCGTGCAACCAGCCCCATGAGGTCGTTGGAGTATGATTGGGGTACATATCAGCTTGTGATACAGGAGGAGAACCTTTATTAGCTCTATAAGTGGTCCAGTCCAGCAATGACATGTGAGCCAGAGGTGGCGATATTTCTCAGCCATCCTGCCAAACTCCACCCGGAACATGCAGACTGGAAACAAACTGTACCTCCCTCCTAAGCTCGACGAAATGGTTTCGGAGTTTATTGTTCTTTCACTGCAACAGTTGAAGCTAAAGCGTACACACTCAGCAGTACACACACCAGTAGATCAGGTTAAAAAGGATGTAGGCGCCAGGGAAGATCATGCGAGAGTACGTGTCGATGGCGTGGGTGTTCTGGATGATCCGGAAGCCACGGAGGCCCTTCTTTTTGGCCCCTGTGGACTCATTGTCCAGGGAGAGGTGCACCACCATCCGCTCTGGTTTTTCTGAAGCGTCCTCAGCTGCCATGGAGGCTCTGGTGTACCCCGCCAGGCTGTTGGCGTCCGCCTCGCTGTACGTCCCATCCAGCATCATGGTCTTGGTGTGAGACATGCCGCAGGTGCAGGGGAGGTTCTGGGACTGAATGAAGAGAAAAGGAATTAGAATTAAGCAAAAGGTTTTTAGCACCATTTGGATTAACTTAACAAACAGCTCTCTGTACCTGTTCCCGGACTTTTTCTCGGAGCTTACGGTCTTTCCCGTCCCTCACCGTCGTCAGGTAGTTGACGGCAGCATATTCAAGCACAGACAGGAAGACGAAGACAAAACTGACCCATAGGTAAATATCTACAGCTTTGATGTAGGAGACTCTGGGCATGGAGGCGTTGACTCCAGTGATGATGGTGGACATGGTGAGCACCGTAGTTATACCTGAATCGCAGAGAACATACAACCTTGCATTAGCAGAGCAGTCAGTGAAGGCTGTCCGGGATCATTTAATTTCATCTTTGTGTCAAGTACAGACATATAGTAGAGTTTTGGGAATTTCTAATGCACTGACTTTGTTGTTTTTTTCAAGTCCTAAGGCTGTATATGAAGATATATGTGGCTAAGTAATGTTACAGCTAGGTGGAAGATTTCTTCTCTTGCTGGGATCAGAGACCATAGAAAGTGTCTCAAAATTCCTTCCACAAATTTTACCCAATCAACACATCAGATGACCTGTGCATACACTGTACATCTGTAAATACGCACAAAAGAATTTTTACTAATACTTTTTGAGGGTACTTCAAAAAGTTCTCAGCCTAACCAGACAGCGTCACAGGAGAAAGATTGTTCTTGTGTTATTCTTCAACATAGTGTCATTCAACCTCAATGCATTTGGTCTACCGATGTTCGAACTTCACTACTGTCACATCATGAGCCTCCACATGCTCCTCAACAGCATGGATTACTTCATTATCACTCTGAAAATGGCGACCACATAAGTTGGATTTCAGTTTGGGAAACAGAAGGCAGACGGTGCCAGGTCAGGTGAATGCTGATTGGACAGGTGCATTGTCCTGGTGCAACAGAACTTTTACTCTTTGATTGCTTCAAACATTTGACTTTTTGTGGACAGTGATGTAAGGCTTTATAATACACATGTTATGCCCCAAAATGGCAATTACATGCTTTGTTTCTGGGTGAAGCAGAGAACTTTCTAAACTTCTTGTACTCTCATATATGCACAAGAACCTTTTCAAATGTCAGTTTGATCAGATCTATGAACTTGAAGTTGAACATACTACACTGTTGCCCATAAAGTAGGAGTAATTTTTTTTTTAATCTCTTCTCATAAAATGGTGATGATGCGATTTATTCTTGGTAGATAAAGAGTATATCTTCTCAGAACTTTATTGATATCACAATATACATACAATACAAATCACAGCAAAAATGTAACCATAATTAACTTTTGCATACATTGTATTCAGGCTAAAACAAAATTGGGGGTATTAAACAATATGATTAAGGGTTTTGTTTCAAAATTTCAACCTTGGCCCATTTAACAGGAAACACATATCTGAGGGGATTTCATGCATTAGAATGTCCAATATTACTCTTTAATGTTGAGTATGCCACCCCTGACACGGATGAATGCGTTAAGACATCGTGGCATACTGTCCACAAGCTTTTTGATGGTGTTAATGGGCAGGATGTCAAACTCTTTGGTCAGATCCCCAAGTCAGAATTTATTTCACCTGATAACTGGGACTAAGTATGTAATCTTTGAACCTGGTCAAAAGTGATAACTGATATGTATAAATAAAAATAAAAAGAGGAATGTGTCTGAAAACAAAAAATTATTCCAGCTTTATGGGCAATGGTGTATATTAGAAACAGCATACTAATTTAAGGATCAGATCCCACTTTGTTCTTAAACAACCTCAGTTCTTTGTGTCATGAATTACATAAAAGTCGTAAACATTCCTTTGAGATTCTGCTGATTCATCACATCATTTCTGCACATTTCTCAGCTACACACTCATTCTGCCGGCATCCCAAAGGTGTTCTCCTGGATTTAAGTCGGCTGGCTGGGAAAGTCCGCTCAACTCACTTTCTTGTTCATGACACCAGTTTGACAAGTCTTTTCACACATAATGCATTATCCTGCTCGAAGTCACCATGAGAAGGTGGTAAACTCTGGCCCTAAAGGGATACGTATGTTCAGCAACAATACTCCGACACGCTCTAGTGTTCAAACCATGATCGCTGGTATTCAGGAGCCGAAAATGTGCCACAAAACATTCCAAATGCCATTACACCACCAGCAGCAGCAGCCTGGATTGTTAATACAAAGCAGGTTGGGCTCATGGACAAATTCTATTGATGCCAAACTGTGAGCCTACCATCTGCGGCCTCAGCAAAAATTGGGATTCATCACTCTAGGCCACATTTTTACATCTTCAATAGCCCAGCTTTGGTGAGCCTTTGCCCTCTGCAGCTTCAGATTTCTGTTCTTGGCTGACAGAAGTGGAACCTGACAAGGTCTTCTGGGCTTTAGCTTTGATCTAAATAACAGTCAGACATCAAAATGTATCCGTGGCCCAAAGTTTTTTTTAGTTCTTGACTGCCTCAGTAGGGTGTATTTGGGACAAATACTGGGTAAGTTAAGGTTCTACAGAAAAAAGAAAAAAAAAAAAAGATGGATCAAACCACTTAGCTCCCTTCACTTCAGGAGAAAACTCGTGTCTCGTTGGAAAGTTGAATAGTAACATATTCTACTGGATAAACTGAGACAGTTTCTGCAGACTAAAAAGCCAGCCTTTTTTTCTATTGCTTCACAATATTAACAGCAAACCACAATTTAAGAGCCATGATTTTCTTATTTTTGTCAGTTGGTGCCACTTGTCAGCAGGATTTCTTAGTTAGTCGGAGAATATGGTATGACATTTCAGGTTTAAAATTAAGAGCCATTTTTCCACTATTCTAACAGTATGAACCAGTCTGAAATTTTATTATGCAACTGGACCCTGATTTTTGTTGCCCATCCACCTCAAGATTAGACAAGTTATGAGTCTGAGCTGCTTTTTTCTAAGTACAGCTGTAATAAGCAGTTATCTGAGTGACTGTAGTCTGTCTGTCGGTTCAAACCAGTCTGGTTATTCTGCTTTGATCTCTCTCAATAAGATGTTTCTGCAGAATTGTGTTTCACAGCATTCTGAGACTGTTCAGAAGATCAAGAGGTTGAGAAATACTCAAACCAGCCTGTCTGGCACCAACACTTATATCAAGGTCACTGAAATTACATTTTTTCTATATTTGGATGTTTGATGTGAAAACTAACTGAAGCTGTTGACCTGTATGTGCAGGATTTTATGCAAAGTGCTGCTGCATTGGATGCATGGCAAAGCAGGTGTTGCTAACACAATACTTGTTGAGTGTATACATGAAATACAAATATTCAAAGTGTAATTTATTTGAAAAACGGTTTGACACTTTTCTATACTCTTGACCTGGTAGGTGCATTTTTAAACTTTGAACAGAGCCGAGCAAGCTGCCAACTTCCCTTCCTCCAGCTAACCATGTCCTGACTCTGCCTCCATACTTAACACCGACCGATATTCATCGTCTCGTTTCACTCAAGAAAGAAAGCAAACAAGCATTTTTTCCCCAAAATGCTGAACCATTCCTTTGACAGTTTGATTCCTTTCTGGGCTTCTCCTGTGCTGGCTGGCTTAGATTCCCAAGTCGCTTTGATGTGCTTTGAAAACCCATTAAATCTGAGCAGGCAGGAGAGTCATTGTGCTGGATATCTTCTTACCTAATGAGACTCTGGCAGGGACGGCCCTGCGGTCGATCCAGAAGGACACCCAGGACAGCATGACCATCAGCGTGGCAGGGAAGTAGGTCTGCAGCAGGAAGAAGAAGATGTGACGCCGCAGAGTGAAGTTGATGTACAGACGGTTGTACCAGCCTGGAGACAGAAGGACAAGTAAAATACAGTGGATATTGGCAAATTGTTTCATCTAGCAGAGGTAAAACAGAGCAATGGTATGATAAAATGTCATAATAAGGTGATATTAAAAACTAATTTCCACTGGGATGGAAGAAATCTTGAGGGGCACGTGAAACAAAACCAATACAATGCAACAGGTTTCTGGATAACAGAATCTATGAGAACAGCGAAGAGCAAATTAGAACATAACAAAATAATAACATGAAGAAAAATTATTAATTATATTTAAAAAGTTCTTGGGATACAATATTTCTCAGAGGAAAAGCCTTTCTCTGGATATGAGGCCAACCTCAGTAATTGGATAAAACCTCACTGGGCAAAGACAAACAATTCTTTTCAGAGTGAACATCTTTTACTATTTCCTGACTTCAGGAGCACTGGTCTCTTTAACAGTTCCAACAGCCATTATACAATGCCAGGAAAAATGAACATGAGGCAGCAAACCGTAATTCAGCTATCACTCGTCCTTTGTGCTCATATTTTCCTGTTGCTATGTGAAATACTGTCTGCCATGGGAATATGTAAATAATCATGACACCATCTGAGAAGTAAGATTCAACACCATAGTTGGAGAAATTGTGGCTCATGACTGTTTTAATGAGTTGGCAAATTGAACTTCTGTACCAGCACTGGTACCTGCACTACAGATAAGGAAATAGAAAAATCTATATTAAGTTCAGAATTAAGGCTACCTGGGTCATATTTACGTTTTACATTTGTTAAAATCTGTTCATTATTACCCCCTCTGAACCTCAAAATCTGCTAGCTGTTTTGAAAACCATGTTATCTTTAAAAAATTCAATTCCAAAAAATTGATCAGAGCTATAAACTGTAAAATTAGAAATATTTTTCAACAAATCACATGTGATGTGCCCTTCCATCTGGAAAATTAACCCAATCTAAGCCTAAATCTGTGACATTTCAGGAAAATTACTTTATTCTTCTTTTGCTATTTTGTCATAAAAAAATAAAGCATGGAAAAATGCTGTACATGTTAATTCCAGGTTAATATTTCTTTTCTTTCTCTTTTTTTTTTCAATAAATAATCAGAAAATCCTCTTTTTGATGATTTATGGCAGCAATTCTGCACAATAAAGCATTTCTAAATCCTTTCTGCTTCTATCTGCGGTTGTGCTGTTTCATTAAGGTGAAAAAATGAGCCCAAAGTGAGTAAAAATGTGACAGGAGCAGAAAATAACCAGCAAGTGCTCTGTGTTCAGAGAGTTTACAGTTATTATTAATAGGAACAAAACAGTGCTGTGTGCTACCAGAGCAGCCAGCAAGCAACTTTCTTTCCCCTCTCCTCTCATTTGTCTTTGTTTTTCTGCTTTTTGTGGCCTGAAGTAATACTGCAGACTCCATATACAGTCTGTGAGTAATACACTTGCTTATTCTCTGGCCACCTTTTATATCTCAGGTACCTGCTCCCACTTGAGAATATACATAAATAATGTATATTTTTGCAGGTTCTGGTTGTGATCCTTGTGCTTGTCTTTGTTATGCAGTGTTCTTTGTCAACTGTGTGTTTAGTCCAATGGTGAAAATTAACAATAAAACCCTGAATAACAAACAGGAATCAACTTGACTGAACTGACTGGGCTGGAAGACATGTGGGTCCACGTGCCATTTAAAAAAAAAAAAAAAAAAAATCTTCCAAGTCTAGAAAACAGCCAGATTAGCCCATTGCTGTTGTTTTTTTTCTTAATTGAAACTGAGCTGATCCAATCACATTTTAAACCCGTTTGTCTTTGGGCTTAGATCCTTCACTAAACAGTGCATCGGCAAAGTGCAAAAAAAAAAAAGGGAAAAGAGTCAGAGTGCCAGGATGGATAAGAGAAAGCACACGTGAGGTGCTGAGAAATTGCAGGCCAAGAAAAGACAGGCCCTTCAGGCAGAAGCTGCCAAATGTGCAAAAATCACTGATGCTTGCTGCAGGACCTTCTTCAGCACCCGTGGCTGAAGATGGTGGTGGCAGGCCCAGGAAGGAGGAGGAGGAGGAGAGGGAGAGAGAGAAAGGCGAGAATGGAGTGGATGTAGAACTTGCTTTAAGCAGAAGCTAACAATCAGCCTGGCTCAACAATACGTCATGAGAGGTGGCTACAGTAGAGTCCCATTAAGATCTACTTGATATAATTGAGCAAAAAAGTGCTGAACCCACCAGCTGGTGTTGGCAATAATGATGACAAATAAAATGAATAAAACAAATTCTGCACAATTTGCTTTTTACGAAGGCAGGTACAGTTTGGAAGTAGATGGATACGACATCAATAGGTGACTTTTCTCTGCAGGAACTCAGGGAGCTGTGGTGCAAACATATACAGGATCAACTCCTAAATCTGCACTTTCAGCTTTTCGGTTTCCATGCAACAGCTTCTTAAACTCGGTAGCCAAAACATTCTCCCCGAATGCTCCATAACAATGACAAACAGTCGTTACTGGATGTAACTTCAGTTCTATGTAGGAAATAGGACAGTGGAGGTTTGTTATGTCAGTCTGAATGGTGAATGTATGTGTTAATGGCAATGTTAGAGAGGAGAATGCTGCCACTGAAGGACATCCAGGGGCCAGAAAAATAGGGCTTGCTGTCCTCTCTGAGTTTAACCAATCAGCATTTGTCATTTTTTCATTTCATCATCCCATCAAGATGTGCACAGCAGTTTTTTTTTTTTTTTTGGAGCAGCTCAGAAGTATTTACCAAGGGAATTTTACTTTTTTCCTCTCACAAAAATTGGCCCTGATAAAAAAATTTTTTGGGGCGATTCTTGCCGTTGGAACACACACAAAGACACAAAAGTTCAAGCTGCTCTAAAATAACCCACAAGTTCCTGCAGTATAAAACGGCCAAATGTTACCGTGTAGAGAGGTCACAGTGACTAAGTAACACAGTGTGCCCATTAACCAACACACTCAGAAAACATTTGGTAGCGGCTATGAAGCTACCGGTCTTTCAAAACATCTTCTAATGAGTCTCTTACCCATCTTATAGAGAGAACGTCGCTATTTTATTATTAAGCACCATTCCTCCACATAACAGTGAGTCAGCTTTTATTGTTTTGTTCATTTATTTATTAGGATATAGATTCTTTTGGGAGCTGGAAAAAAAGGCGTGTTTGAGAGCCAGCTTTTGTGTGGCTTTTCAGTTGATGCAAAGCTACTTTTATCTAGACGATAATCTGATCAATCATTTATCATTTGTATTTTTGCTCTCGTACACACAGGACACCTTTACTTGTGTTTTTAAGGATTTATCAAAGAAGTTCACGGGCATTCTATTGACTTAGTGAAGCTACAATCTATTCAATGCACCTTTCTTTGAAAAATAATATCCTTCTCCCTTATATAATTCCATTGTGTGTTTTAGGATTCATTGCAGTAAAGTTTATAATTTTGTCACTTTTGCCACTTTCTGAAGGGATTTATCCTGTTTGCCCTCAAAAAATGTCATTTGTTTTCACTCATTACACAGATTTTGTGTTTTTATGGAGTGTCACACCAGTGTGTATGTAGATTCCCAAGTATGACTGCTTGTCCATAAATCTATCAGTGCTTAAGAGCCAAACTACAGTAATATGCAGAAGTTTAAAACACTTTAGATGCTTAAATCGTTATGCATCACGGAGAGCACATCAGACCATCAGGGAGACATCTGATTGGTCCCAAATTCACTCTGCAGCAGGATAATGAGCCCAGACATCCAGCCAGAGTTATACAAAGAATCAATCAATAAACTATTTACTATTCATGGCATTATCACTTTACTTTTAGTTCCCAAAACGTTTGCATAGTTCTGAACAAGTCCAATCTTATCTTTTACCATGAGTGTCAGTCGCTCAGGTCAAACTGAGTCCAAACTAAACAACACAAAGGCACATAGAGGACTTGTTCCAACTAAATCCCCATTAAAAACTTTCACCAGTAACCACCTTAGACCTTCTGTATGTTCCAGATATTCTATGCTTTAGTGTATGTCCCTCTTTTTTTTTTAATAATTTCAATTTGCCAGTTGATCTGGTGCATCTTGTGGGGTGTTTTGTGTATTAAATATGCTGTATAAATGAACATGCCCTGGGGTTCTTTGACTTGCCTCATTATGGTTAAACTCCCCATGTGTTCTCCAACTTAATTTGGCTGTACGCCGATTAAACACAAATTCACTCAGGAATACGTACCATGTAATCATTATGTCAACTGAAATATCCATGGTATTAAAAGTAGATGTTGACATTGGGCCCCTTGACCATACAGGGCCTCAAAATTAGCTGTACATAAATTAATTGCATTAAAGTCCTTTCAAATTCCATTTGTATTTACCAGTTGAGGAAAGTTCTACAAACTAATTCCCACGCTGTTAATGTGGGCTTGGGGGTCTCTGCGGCCCTTAAGAGCAGTTGTCAGTTTTGTCCAGTGGGCATCCAGCTTTACAAAACAAGAGTATTTAAAAGTTTCACTGAGAATTTGCTTTGCCTCTTGACCTGTGCTGCTGTAGAAAGCCAGTCTGGAGGTAGTGTGAAACTTCTGGATGAGGAACTGAGACAGTGAAATCCTATCGTCGGTGCTCAGAGACTCATCGCCGCTTTTCCAGTACAGCATCAGGTCCTCGTCGGTGTACGCATCTGAAAGACAGAAAGCAGGAATGTAAGCAGAGAGGTGTGTTAGTTTCAGTGTTCAGCTGGATCTGTGATCAGAAAATACTCAACAGAAGTGTCATTGGATGAGTCTTAAATCAGAGTCAAGCAATTAAAGGATAGGTACTGAAAAAAACAAGTTTAAGTACTATATGTAGGTATATATCATACATGAACATCTATCTGTTGCTATACTCACTGTTGTTTGTCTTTGTTGATAAGTCATTCCAGCTATTCAACTTTACTCATTTGTTTTTTGAGAGGCATTAAGTTACTGTCAATAAAACTCAGCACTTGTATCTGTGTAGGAAGTTATTAAATTAACGTAACTGGAAATGCAAAAGAACCTGTTTCCATTACAAAGGAGCCATTCTGAGGAGATGCCGAGTATGACATGTTTTTATGGTAATGAAATGTATGAGGGTACTTCAAAACATTCTCAGCATCACCAGAAAATGTCAAAGGCAAAAGGTTGTTCTTGCATTATTTTTTTACATTGCCTTCTTTGACTACAATGCACTTGGTCAATCAGTGTTCAAGCTTCACCATCCCTTCGTGGAGAAGGTCAAGTCTTAAGCCTTCAGTTTCTCCCCAGCAGCACGCATGACTTCATCATGAAAAATGGCAACGGTGCATGTCAGATTTTAGTTTGGGAAACAGATAGAAGTCAGACGGTGCAGGTTAGGCAAGTAAGGTGCATGCCACAACAGTTCAAAGCCACATCTGGCTGCTTCTGCCACCTGTACTGTGTGGACAGGCGGATTGTCCTGGAGCAACAAGATGCCAGTATGAAGTTTTCCTGTCTTTTTTTTGTCCTTGATTGCTTCACACGTTTGAGTGTTATAGTGTACACTTATGTCCCAAAATGGGAGTTACATCACTTGTTTCTGAGTGAGGTCAAGAACTTTTTGATGTACCCTTATACATTACGATACGTTTCAAAGACAACAGTCAAACACTAAGGAAGCTGTAAGTTGAATCCAATGTAAACAAAAGCAAGAGCACTAAAATATAAAATTCTAACTAAAGCCCCTCCAAAGGCTTGCTTCTCTGTGCAACTAAAGCAAGAAAAGGCTCTGGCTGGTAAGAATCTGTAAATGCAGTAACATCCACTGAAGGGAAAGCATGATGAAATTACATGCTGTTGTTCTGCACCAACTTCTTGCTGATGAATCACAGTTTGGTGCTTTTCGGCAGGGAGGTGTTGGTGAGACAACATGCTGCCAAAACGCTTTGGGCCTTTCGTGAATAGCGGTACAATATTTCCACTTTCCGTCTTCTTGGAGAAAGTGTGTTCAGTATCAGAGCGTGCAAATACTTACAGCTCTCCAGCTCTAGCGTGCACGTCTGCGAGTCCAGAGGGAATCGACTGAAGTCCATGTTGCAAGCAGCCGTAACTGTAACCCTGCGGAAACAAAAGCAGAGTGTAAACCTCACCAGCGCCGCACAGGCTCCACTGGGGTCCTGCCAAGTCTTATTTGCTTCTTGTCCTCACCTCAGGCTGTACAGAACGTGACCATCTGGGAAGACCCTCAGCATGATGTTGTCAGTGGTGGTGTCATGGATGAAGGACCTCTTGGAGTGGACAAAGAAGACATCGGGCACCCAGATTTTCTTCACCAGGCGCCCGTCGAAGGTCATGCTCTTGTTGGTGGCGCTTGGAAAGGCCAGCCTCTCGTCCTTCCAGTAGTGCCTCAGATACAGGGTCATGGTAAAGTCCTGAGGGACCGGGGGAGGGGAGGGACAGATACAGAAACAGCCTCTGGATTAAGTCCCACTACGAGGACTCTACTTGCTTGCTGCATCTGATTTATTGAATTCCTCTGGGATTACAGCGCTCTGGCCTGTGCTCGCTGGATTATTGAGATTGTTTATGACTAAACATACACAGTCATGAGAAGTGCTGAACATATGTTAACTAACCATGGTACGCAGTGTCCATTGGTTCTAGATTACCCTTGTCTTCTCGCCTCCTTCCTCCCTGTTGCTATGCAGGCAGGAGTGGTCCTGAGCCTGCACTGCTCCACATTGCCACTGATCATCATCCTCTATCCTAGTCTCCTCGCAGCATTACGTAAGACCAGATCAGTTTGGAATAATGGCTGCAGCAACACATTGTACTCTTGGCACCCACCATAAAAGTACCTTTGATGTTGCATAAGACGAGTTCAGGGGCATGTCTGAATCCCTCAGATGAGTAATAACTGTAATGTGTTTACTAATGAGAGATTATTTCAAGTGTACCAAACTGAAGTCTGTATCCTTGAATGTCATCATTCTGTGGTATTTATAACTACAAATGTACTGGTTAATTAACGCTTTGAAATATATTTCTATGACTCCTTTGAAAGAATAAATAGCACAGAATTTCTTTTGCAAAATAAAAGTTGAACTTATTTGGAACAAAGCGGCACATTTTATGAAGTCACTGTATTCTGGTTTTGTTTTCACAGCCTTACTTCTTCTGAAATGAGCATTTGGTTTCAGATGTTTTATAAAACATTGGTGGGACATTACTGAACCGGTTTACCTTGATGCACCTTTCCTGCTTTTGCAGTTATTAAAATATATTTTAGCATTTGGCATTACCTCATAATTACTACAAAAAATGAAGTCAAATGTGCAATGAAATCCACTCATGTGGCTACTTCAGATGGACTTTACTGTGTAACTGAACACACTGAGTCAGATCACCGGTTCTGTGATTCTCCTATGACTTTACTTGGGCTACTGTGCTAAAGTTTCTTCATCATTACTATCTCAAAACAAAGAGGGGAATTCACTTTAAAAAAAAACCGAGATACACTTACAGGTTTTGGTCTCTATGGTGGCCAGTATTGCTGTGTAGCTGGCATTGCCGAGCCACCTTGTGCTATTCCTATGCTACATTTTAGCATTCATCATTATCTCATAGCTGCCACTAAAACATTGAGTGGAATTAATTAGCAATAAAACTAACTAGGGTGGCAAACGTTAGCGAATAACAAGTAAACTTTAACATATCGTTCACCAATTTTGTGACTACGTGTAAAACAGAGGCTACCGCTGGCTAATGTTCGCTCATGTTAGAAAAATTTAGACAGACATTGCTATGTAAGCACACATTAATGGCACTTCTCAACTTGTCCTGCTATATAACATATTAGTTACATTGTGTGTTTCTGTGTTTCATTTTGGTGGTTAGCACCGTTGCCTCACAGCAAGAAGGTCGCCTGTTTGCATCCAGGTGAGACACCCGGGATCTTTCTGCGTGGACTTTGTATGTTCTCCCCTTGCAGTGTGGGTTCTCTCCGGGTTCTCCAGCTTCCTCCCACACAGTCCAAAAACATGTTGAGGTTAACTGGTGATTCTAAATTGTCCGTAGGTGTGAATGTGAGTGTGCTTGGTTGTCTGTCTCTAAGTGTAGCCCTGTGACAGACTGGCGACCTGTCCAGGGTGTCCCCTGCCTTCGCACTAAGTCAGCTGGGATAGACTCCAGCCCCCCCGTGACCCTAGTGGGGATTAAGCGGTGTATAGATAATAGATGGATGGATGGATGGATGGATGGATGGATGGAGTTATCAGCCACCGTCACCGCCTCCAAAATCTGAAAAGTCAACTTGACAAAAGATCCCTCTTCTGTTCACACATACTGTTTTCTGTGCCCCTATCACAAGCATGCACCTGGTTTTCATACATACAGATTTTGAGAGTAATTAAACACCACAGGACTTATCATAAGCCTACATGTGCAGCCCTAAACCGCCAACAAACTGACCTCTTTAATAAGTATTGTGTGTATCCAAAGCCCAATAGATCCTCTGAGCCAAAGAGCTCAATTTTTGTCTGAAAGCTATTATGACACATCAGTGAGCCACACTGTTGTACTCACGGGCTGCATATAAAGAGGCTGCGCCACATGAACACACACTGTTGTTTATTTTGTCTCAACCCAACACATGACATTGATGTGGCTGAAAATAAAACAGTCGCAGCCCCGTGCACATGCAGCCTCAGCATCCAATTTCCCTCTACTACACATATTGTCACACAAGTACCTCAGCATGTTTCTGCTCTTCTGTCTTACAAACTGTACAGTTATGGTGTGCTGCTTTTCCTCTAAGGTTTGGCCACACAAAAAATGCAATGGAATATTATTTCCATCGTGGCTGCAAGTCTTTATTAAACATGGTAGAAACAGCCATCATACATAAATTTTAGCCTTCTGACGATGATTGCACAAATAACTTTTATTTAGGCAGTTAAACTTAATTTGTTTTAAATTAGTTCAGAAACAGGTTTTACAAACCATAAAATAGCCTGTGAAAGATTTGACTTGCTAATATGATAATTAAAAGGTTTAATTAAAAGGGAAAATATTAAAAGGTTTGCTAAGGGTTTATCCGTTTGGTTTACTTCACCAATTTCAAAACTGCTGCCAAGAAATGCTATATATCTACCAGCCTGAGTAGGACTCACTGTTTATTAGTGCAGAAATAATTAAATTGAGCCGTTTTCTGAAAATAATAATCATTTGAGTGGTACGGTTCGTGCCTTTAATAGGAACCAAAGGGCTTGATTCCTAGATCACACATTATAACACTTTGATTGGATCTTTTCATTGGATTTGTTGACAACAAGAAACCTCGTGTTTGCTCAACCTGGATGCTTTTAAACAAAACAGCAAAAGATCACTTGCTGTGTGACCGTTTAGCGTCCCGCAGCTTTGCAATGTGACATAATGTCATTAGGAGTAGCCGTCATCTGGAATCATTCATCTTTCCCCCCCTCCTTCTGTTTAGAAACAATTAAATACTCAACCCTTGGTTCCAAATTAAATGCAATCCTCAGTTGTCCTTGCAAACAGGAGCTTACACAACGTCAGGATGACTGTTTGGTATCCAATTTATGGTTCCAGAACAGAAGGCTGATTTAATTACATTACTCAACGTTGCATTCAGTCTGACTTTGAGCAAAACAAATAATTCCTGCCACTGAGCTTTCATAATCTATCTCTGATTATCCAACTGAAAACTAGAACTAAATGACTAAAAGGATACCCTTGTGGCATTTTAAAGTAGTCCCTCTGATTCAAGCAACACAACACAGACATCTGATACAAGATCAGAGATTCCCCAACGAGACTGCATTTGTCCAAGGATCTAGTGTGTCCAAAAAGTTACACCGAGGACACAAGTGTCACCGCAGTCTTAGTCATGTGTCCATTGTCATGCTGGTAATGAAGAATGTTCCTGCATCGGCTCATTAGCTGCTTTGTTTGAGGAGAGCTTCTCCCCCATGTGTTGAAGCACAGGAAGTTAATTTGTTAACTTCCACAGAGGCAAATTGTCACAGACTCACTGCCACCAGTCACATAATCCATCACAACACTATCATTAATAACGACATTATGTTTCTACTTCTTTCATAATCTCATTACTTTCAGTTAGTGTTGATTGAATATTAAGTTAGAGAGACAGAATAATCCTAGTAATCCTCTTTTTTCCCACCCTGACTGAGTCTGTTTTAATTACTGCTATTTTCAGTCTTTGCAGCACATCTGAGTTGGAATTTTCAGTAGGTGACTTTAAAAAAAAACTGTTTTAAAAGGATTAATCATTCTGGAATGATTGGAGTAAATTTGCAGGTGACTCAGCATGCACAGAAAATAATTAAACTTTTTATTTATTTTTTTAAAGCTAAAAAATTACTTTTTACTTGAAAAACTTTTTTGTGAACTATTTTTCACACGGAGCAGCACTGGCAAAGGTATTAAAATAGTTTATTAGTTCGGATGGTATTAAGCTCTGACTTTCAACTCATCATACAGAGCTTTGAAATGATGCCATTTAATTTCAAGTTTAAATGGTCGGACAAATTAATTGTGTTGCCTTGGCGACAGCTCCAAGACACAGCTGACAGAGTACCTGTTTTTGGTCAACATCATCTTCCCTGGAGCCAAAAGAGGAGAGGTGCATGATTATAGCCAAAATGATTCAAAGATTAATATTGAGATTATAATTTGCCTAATTATCAAAGTTATTCATTGATTTTAAAGGGTTTTTATTGCACTTTCACATAAAAACAGAGCACTGCCTTAATTGTTTCAAGTTGTGCTACATTTCTACAAATGCACGAATCTGCATCAAGACTTAAAATGAGATTATTCTTCACCTGAATTTAACACATCTTTAAAGGCAAATTAGCAATAAAACTGGACCAAAAACGTCTCAGTTGCTGAATAACCACTTATCAATAGATACTACAATTGAGTGAAGTTGCTAAAGTAAAAGCTAGCTCGGTGGCTGCAGCGCTGTGCACGTAGAAGCCTCTAGTCTCCGCTTGATTACTGCAGCTTAAACTGGTATGTTACCAAAAAATACTTAGAAAAGAGTGAAATAAGGTATTTTAAAGTCAGATTTACCCAAGCTAAAGCCAGTTGGCTATTTTTCTAGTTTCAAGTGGGCAATTGTGGAAAGATTCAATTGTGATCGTGATTTATTTTTCATTAACTGTGCAGTTCTGATGTTGCGTTTCTTTTTTGCAACCAAATCTGTCTGTTCAGGGTTTCTCTCCTGATCCTCGCTCATTTTTCTGAGCACACTTGGAGCCTGCATGTCATTGAACTCCATGTGTTCTGAATAAAGTAACAACAACAACAACAAAAACACAGTGTACCCAAGAACCCTTTAATCTGAGCAAATTATATTGCATTGGACAGACTTTTAATGCGAACTGTGTGAGTTTTCTTTTAAGAACCAAAAGTGTTTGAGTTAATTTACTTCCTTTACATTTACATGTCCTGTGATGTGACTATTGTGCATGTACATGTGTGTTGCAATGCTGATGCTGAAACAATATATGCAGTATGAAACTGTACGTTGTGTGTCCTGTGGCACTTAATGCACTGGAGCCACTCACCATGTCCACCTCTGATATGCTGTCTAAGCTCTCCACCTGAACGTCCACTCCAACAGGGACAGCAGGACCTGTAGATAAACATCAGTCAGACACAATCAGGTTTTCACTCAGATATTTCACTGCTCTAAGTTGCTTGGAAGCAAGAATTTAAGAACAAAGTACCAAGTACCCTAAAGTCTTTTTCTGTATGTTCTGCTCTTATATACAAAGCCAAGAAACGCTTTAGTCTTTATTGTATTGTTATTGGTTGCATTCACAATCAGCATACTCGTCTCACAGGAAAATTAAAAACAACAAAACCTTCCTCTCCACACACACACACTTGCAAGGTAAAAGCAAAGTTCACTCATATTAAACCCTTTGGGCTCTCTGACTAGAAAAGCTATCAATTTAAACTTTTGTTAGTTCTCTAAGTCCTCGGGCTACAAGTTTGAAGAAAACAAACACACCTCCACAGATTATTTTGTGCAGCAAAATGAATAATGAAGAAAGCACATTTAAATTACACTTGTTTCTGTCTTATAGCAATATGTTCTTTCATATATATTCCTCTGTGGGTGGATAGGTGCTATTTCCGCTGTTCTATTTTCCGCTACATCCCTTTATTCCCAATGTTGGCATCACCACATTTGTCCGATCGTCTTTCTGCATCGGTGCCGAGCCAATCAGTTTCTGCTCTTTAAATGTCACTGCAATTCTGCCATTCTGTCTTTCAGATCTAGCCTTGTACAACCTTCTTCTTCCTCATCACCACCTCATCCAGGGAACCTTCATCAAAATGTCTAACTCCACCACCACCATCTCCTTCTGTCATCTGGGACAACGCTTTGTGAAGATACGTCTGATCACCACTTTCTACAGATTTGATGTTTAGTAAAAGATCTGAGGAAGCAGTGAAACTAAAACAATGATGTAAACAGCAATACTATCATGTATTTGGTGGTGGTGTTTGTGTCTATACAGCAAATATTCACTCTGTTTTAGCTCTGTTTTTGGTCTCCACCAACTCCTTAGAAAAGCATCTGCCTCTTTAGCTGCTAAATGTTCCACTTTGCTCACCAGCTCATGTCTAATTGGGTCTGTCTGCTGGTTGCTGCTGAGAAGGTAGTGTAAAGTGGGTCTTTTAGAGCTGCTTTTTTTCTGAAAATAGCTGCCTGCTGTAGCCAAAAATGACACTAGAGCAATGAGAGTGAACCAAAGGAGCAAAGGCAGGACAGATAATCAATAGTCACTACAAAGGTGAGGCGAATGGTTAGAATTCTCCAGAGACACCTTTGACTTCATCTCATTGTTGCTCCATGCTGTTGTTTGTCTCCGATGAAAAATACGAACCAACTAAAGACAGACATGCAAAGATGCCATTTGATTTTTAAAATAATCTGACGTCAGGTCTGATACAGTCAGTGTCAGTCAGCTCATCCTCTCACACATACACTCCTAAAATAACAGGATGGGGGTATCCTGCTAAGCCGTGACTAATAGCTGCAATCATTTCGCATGGGAAGTCGCATCAAACAGAGCCCAGCACTCACATATTTGTGGACGTGTTGTTGTTTAGCTGATTGAGAGGATTAAATTTAAGGTCAGTTTGGGATTTACAGGGATATGGGGGAAAGTATCCTAGTAGCCTTATCATCAATAGCAAAACAAATTCACACACCCTTCTGTCATTTGTGTATTAAAGTCACATTGGCTGCTGTAGTATTGTTAATCTGCACAGCAGTAAGGATGCCAGACTTACATAACTAGTGGCACGGCAAAGCTGCTACCTAGAAGAGGGGATATTAACTCGTGCCCAGTTCCAGCTGTCAGCAGAGTGTCCTCCCTACTCTTACTCACACCATATGCCGAGTATCACGTGCCAGACCCGGTCGAGCCGGAGCTTTCTGCGGACATGACCCCTCAGCGGACATAACACCAGACACCTGCTGAGAAAAAAGCCTCAACTAGCGGTGCTTTGGAGTTCCTCATCTCTCTCTCAGCAGCTGGGTAGCAGGAGGGCACACCCAGACCTCACACAGAAAAAAAAGAGGGACATAGCTTTGCATGTTGTCTAAATTATAGTGTTCAGAAGCTCCAAACACCACAGACTGAGGCTGAAAAAGTGTGTTCAGATGCAACAACCGGGCACAGATGAAATGTCCTGCGCATGGTTTTGCCAGAAGATTTCCTTTTGCTATTTTGAGCTGACAGCATCAACGAATTATTCAACGTCACTGATTATCAGATGCGATCCATGAATGCGTCACAGCGATGCTTCGCTTCATAATTCCTGTTAGCCCTTGTAGCCCTCAGTAGCACTTCCATGTGGGCCGCTTTCAAATGGGGCATGAAGCAAAAGTGCGTCAGACAGTGTGTGTCCCCCCCCAACCCCCCTCTCTGACCTTACAGTCCCACAAACATGAGCACCGCTGAGCATCGGCGTTGCAGCACAACAAAGACTATACATCAAAGTTAAAATGCAGAGAACACTGCTGGCAGAGCAGGCGATTTGATAGTTTCAGGGTTCTGCTTTTTTGAGAGCTTCACTAAACACCAAACAGCTCATTTAGTAGCAAATCTTATTCTTTAAAATGGAATTATCATCAAAGCGCAGGAGGAAAACAAAAGCACATAATCCGCATGCATTCATAACATGACAAAAAAAAACAATTTTTATTTGTTATGTATGGGGATTTAACAAGCTATTGAATTTTTTATCAGGCTAATTATTTGAGTCAATGAGCACATGGACCTTTTTTCTCCCTGTGGGGGAAAATTCATAATGTCTCTAATTAAGAATGCTACACGTGTAGGCTACATGATGATTATTAATCTAAGAAACACAAGATGCTGAGGGTCTTTTATTTTGATGTGTACGAGCAGGTGTGCAGCCTGAAATTAGAGGAATATCTCACTTGAGGGGGAACTTTCAAGGGATTTTGCGGGTACTTTTGTGTCTGATGATGTGTGAGCTATCTGTTCTGTCTGTACTGCTGCATTCTAATCTAATTGAACTTCATTTCACAGCAGGCATCCAGAAAAAAAATAAGTGTTTTATAGGGTTGCTTTGACCGAATTAACCCATTAGGAAAGTCTGAAGGAAAAAATGAGTTAGGCCATGCTCACCCTCCTTCCATCCTGAATCCTACAGCTGTCTGTGCATCTAGTCTCCTTCGAGTGCTCATTATTACAGCAGACTACATTTGGGAGCTTCAGCATATTTTTGCCCATTCTTGCCAACAGTTCTCATGTGTTGGAATACTGTTTCTGTTGATTCATTTATGGCAGTCTGACTGCACATTTTATACAGAACGCTTTTAACCCTCTGAACCCCAAAACCTGCCCGCGAGTCTGAGAGGCAAGTTATGTTTGAAAGATTGCCATAATCACACAGTTTATCAGACTCAAAAACTGTAAAAGCAGAAATGAATCAACAGATTATCAGCTTTCTGGTGACTTCTTGTTCCATCTGCAAAAATAGCCAAATCTAAGCTTAAAATTAGAATATTTCATCAAAACACATCAACACAATATTCTACATGCCCCATTTTTAAAAAAGCTAGAATAAACCTTTGCCCAAACCAGAAACAAAAAAATTCTACACTCCTCAGAGCAACCAGAAAGCCATTAGTGACTCAGCAGCAGCCAACAATCCTGCAAAAAATAAAAAATAAAATAAAAAATTCAAGGATTTTCCAGCTGAACAGGGCTAAACTGCAGGCTGTGTTTACACCGAGCAGATATGAGACAAGTCTGGCAACAAATGGAAATTCTAGTCATAAAATATTTATAATATTTTGAGCCATCCTTTTTTTTTCATCCCCTTGGGGCACTTGGAAAAATGTTGGACATAATAAGTCCAGGTTTTTCCATTTTTGTAAAATAAATAAAAGAAATGCAACTTTGATTTCTTTTTCAACGATTTATAACCGTGCTTTTCTGCACAAAAGACATTTCTGACAGTTCTCTCTGCTTCCAGCAATGGTTGTGCTGTTTCAATGGAGGTTTTATATTCCATTGAAAAAATGAGCCCACAGTGAGTAAAAATGTTACAGGAGCAAAAAGTGGTCAGGAACAACTTGGAGTTCAGAGGGTTAATTTATACAGCCTTGCTTATTTTGTAAGCAAAGGTTTTAGGGTAAAAAGATTAGATAACAACCCTCACAAAAAGATTCTTGAGTGTGAGACTGTGATCTCATGGCAAATACACCCAAACAAATTTGTACTGAGATAAGTCCCTTCAAACCAATTTGTGCAAAGTGAACATGTTTTTTTTCCCTGTTTGTTTGTTTAAAGCCTTAAAGATTTTAGATATCTACCTCCACCCTAATACAACTGGATAATTGGAATTTGTGTGGTGCTCAGAGAACTAAAAGTTAGTTTTTTTAATATTACAAACAGTGCTAACCACTTTCTCGATTAACAAACGTCTATGTTAGAGCAGCTGGAGGCCACAGAAAATCCTATTATGTCAATAAATACATGAGCAAGTGAAAGAGTGCTGAATCTTTTTAGCTTTATGTTGAGTTTGCATCAAAGTTTGACAGAAAAATGAAGTGGAGTTTTGTGAAACTTGTACACTGTCTTCCACACCACTGGTCCTGTTCTCATTCAGCTGTGTCACGTGCTGTTTGACTTGATCATTTTGTCCTGCCGAACTCCATGAATAAAAGAGCTCACATCATTGTGTTTTTAAAGGCGTATGTCTGGAAGTGCTCATGTACTGTATGCACAGCCCTGATTGTAATTTGTATAGAAATGCGTGTAAGTTTGTTAACTGTGTGCAGCAATGTCTGTCCTGATGCATGATCAAGGCTTAAGGGTCTAGTAGCAAAATGCCTAAGTGCAGGGGTCAGCGATTAGTTCTGATCATGAACTAACATTTTAGCATAGCTTGCTGTTGGGACGGCTTTTTCCAGGCACAAGTGTGCATCTTGTCAATTAACATTTTGCTTTAGTTCTTTGAATTTGCTCAGCTGATTCATAAAACTGAAAGAAACACCCACACACAAAACAGCTGATCCCCAAACACGAGTTAATCTTGCAAATTATTTATCAAAAGTTTCCGCAGATAGTCAAATATCTCCGATTACAGCTACACTCTGCATGGCGGCCTCGACTCTCACAGACCGGACTGCCTTCATCTAATTTCTGCGGATGCGATGAGAACACAGGGAGAAAACCCCCCTTATGCCTTCCATGCTGGACTGACTCAGTTCATGGATTAGTGCCTGTAAATCCGCTGTTGCTTCACCCTGACTAGATTAGACAGCTAGGCGTGCGCACTACAGATGCTAAGGCCAGAAAGAAATCCCAGTTATGGGACACATTCGGTGGAGGGTTCTTGAGAATTGCTTGGGTGAAGCGAGGGGAAAACACGCTGTCTCTTTAATGCAAATATGACTAACGCATGACAGGTCTATCCACCCTGAGGCAGACAGGGAGGAGGAGCTCCACAAATAGATGTACTGAGGAAATCACAACTTGATGTGATGACAAATATTCTGTCCAAACAACTATCTGCTCCACCCTAGATGTCTGATTCGTGATTCCGGAACCGCCCAATAGGAGCAGTTCAGGTGCTCTACTTAGGATAACAGGAACATTAGAACAGTCAGAGCTCTGCCTGCACACAACTGATGGCACACCTCACCTGCTGTTGCTCTGTGAGACATAAACAACACACTTTCTATTCAATATCTTTGTTCTTTAGAATAATACAACACAACAAAACAATTTATTGTGTGCTTTTTTTTCTCCGTCTGATTCGGGAATTTTGTCCATCCTTACAACAGGCGTCGTTCTCAATATCTATCCCCCAGCACACAGGAAATGGCCATGTAAGAGGCTTTCATTAGTAACACTGCAGCCGCTGTGCTTTGAAGCCAGGAGGAACCACAGCAGCTGCTGCACGCTCACACGTCTTCCTCCGCCAAATGATGGCGCGGCAGACTCACAGGCGGCAGCGGGGCGCTAACACAAGTCAGCTTTTGATGATGTTTGAATAAGACGATCACATTCTTCTTCTGCTGCTGCGGAATCCAGCGAACAAAAGCTGACAAATGCAAGACAAAAAAGTCGTCCTCAGTGGGATCCACGGTCCCATCTGTGACTGCAACTGTAGTCACAGAGGAGCATGAAATTCACTGTGGGACATTTCATTTAGATTGTCACCTCCTCCTGTGCTTAAACAGGGCCCGTGTATGCTAAATACCAGAGAACGGGACTCTTTAGTGCAACAAATAAGCTTCTTATTTTTAATTGCCTCCCAAAAATCCCAGGAGCAGTGCCATTGTCCTGACATTCAGTGTGTGAGAGCTAAGGACACCCACAACACCCTTGAGTTGACTTTTGCCTCTGCCAACACATGACTGATCGCTGTCACTGCTGGAAAATAGCAACAATCAGACATGGTTTCAAAAAGGTCTGACAGTGAAGTCAAGTCATCTTAAAAATAAGTCTGAAGCAACAGAAAGGATGAGAAAAAGTATTTCTCTCAGGTGCTGCAGGATGACCTCTGCTCACCTCGGTGTCAGTGTGTATTTAAGATATAATAGAACCTGCTGAAAGAAACTGGCTGAAGTTATTCCTTTTTCTTCTTTAGCTCAAGACTGCAAGCTCCACTTCTTGCCTATTTCTGTCCTATTTAGGGTTTGGTAGTGGAGCAGAAAAGAAGACAGGTGGGAAAAATAAACCTGACTCTGCTTTTCTACTCAGCGTGGCATCAACATTCACTTCACACTCAGGTTCAACAAAGGGTGAAGTGTGACGCGCTAATAGCTGACAGGCTGAGCCAATGTCAGCGGACTGCTGAGCTCCAACATCTAATGGCTCACGTAGTGATATCTCTCAGAAAACACACTTCTTTAGGAGACCCAGGAACAATGAAGGAATATTCTCACATGGTCCTCAACATCATCGCTGGCTGCAAGCTGCTCATGAAGCTTACCTGCAAACGCCGGCCTCATGGTGAAGTCATGTTCGTCGATACGCAGCAGGTGGCTGGTCTTCACCTTTCGGGTTTTGGTTCCATCTGATACCTTCTTTGACAGAGGGCTGACAACACACAGAGAGGAGAGTTTTCTAAAGAAAAGTTTCACCATTGTTCAAGTCTGCCATAAAACAACAGTCAGGTGTCCAGATTAGACAACCTCTAATCATTCCTCTTGTTCATGCTGGTCATTAGGAGCTCCCTTCACAATAAACTTTCAACATAAGGGATGGGGGACAAAATCTACAACCCTCATTTGGAAAAACTCATTACAAAGTTTGTATGAAGCTAATGCACCAATGAGCCAATGCTGATTATCTGGGAACAATGGTGTGTGCAACAGTCTGGGATAGATTAAATAGTAGATGTGGGATAATTGTGCAGGTGGTAAAGACCTGAGTGGCTTTGACAAGAGCCAAGTCCATGTCTCAGTGGGTTGGAGTTGTTTTGGCAGCAGGTGAAGGAGCAACAGCATATTAGGTAAATATTTTCATCATGTTTTGGATAAGCAGTGAATGAGGCTTTATCGGGCTGAGTTAGACAGATCAAGTGGATATCTTCCAAAATTGCGGTTTGTTTTACTCCACCTCAACCAGAGAACAGACTGAACTTTATGCTAAAAATCCTGTTTTTTTTGGAAGACAGCCACTGGATCTGAAATTGATATGAGTGTTAAAGCCTCACATTTCAGTTCAGAAGACTTTTTTTGGATCATATGAGGTCTGTGGATTTTGTTACCTCTCACTTATATTTGAATTGCACTATAAACAGATATCCAGTATGGACAAAAGGACTGATGATAGTAAGAAAAGTGTTTCAAGTTTCACATGGGCACCACATTATGGTTTCAATACAGACTTTAGAATGTTTAAACCTACCCTTTAAAGTGCCAATGGTGTTTGGTCAAACTTGTGGGATTCTAGTTTTCTTTTTGTCAGTCAACACAAAAACACCAAAACTAATAATGTGTTACTTCATCTCTTGATACTTCTGATTCTGAATACATCGAATGCAATTTTTCAAAAATATGTGCCCTAAAACAACTTATGTTAATGTTCAAGTGGCAAACCCTTCAGAGCTGTACTGACAAGTGACAAGAGAAAAGTAGGAAGTCAGCTAAAATAGTTAAAGAGCACATGGAGGTAGTTGGGGTGGATGATGGGTCAACAAAATGTTGGACTTTATCATGAGAGGTTGCTGTTCGATTCCAGCCTGTGTTTTAATTTAACACTGAATCACTAAATTTGGACGACTTTCTGAGAGCACCACAACCTTAAGGCAACATATATGAGCATCACGTGACACCCACATATCAATTTTCCAGGACAGCAGCACCTTGATCCCAGTGAGTCTCCACAAATCCTCTACTTTAACTATAGGACAGGTTTAATGTGAGCTACAGGCTTCAAACAATGCAAAGCTCCATTTTTTCTTCCCACCTCTCTGCATACCACTTCCTACATTTGCACTGTTCATCAGCACTGAATGCAAATCATGAAATATCCAATTTGGACCTCTTTCCACTACACTTATCTATTCTGCCTGTGTTTCTAAGCTCCAAACCCACTGATTCCCACTGAGGACACAAATCTTAAGAAACACCTCACAAATACACAGTTTCATTTGAAAAATACTCAAACACCCACACACTGTACTTTTTAACAAACAAAAAAAAAGGAGAAAATAGTACACTCGTTGGTGGCTGAACACATTCAGTGGCAGATTAATCCACATGGCTCTTTAGTGAGTATTTCAGGCAGCAGGATGGTGAATGTAGGACTGAGTCAAAATAAACTACAGCGTGTGCGTTCATGGTAATGAGGAAACATGTCATCCAGAGCAACACTGTGACTCACTGATGTGCGCTTAATAGCTATTTGACAACAATGGAGCTCTGTCACACAAAGGAATAGGATACATCAGGCTTGCACACATAGTACTTAGTAGAATATGTCCATTGATGGTTTGTGCAGGAGATTAGTTGACAATGAGGAAAACAGAATATGTCCAGACTTAAACTTTATTTTTAGGAGAGTGGAAAGCTGTCTGGAATCAGCAATCTCAGTGTCCCCTCTTAATTTAATCTCACGTTGTTGCACATTCTAATAACTTTGTTTCTCTCGATGATTATAATTGCACATTCACAAGGTCAAAAAATTGGTCTAGCAGTATAAAGAAAAACTAAAAACCATGTGTCCAATTATCCGGGTAGGACTGCTTTAACAGTCAATTGATTTAGAAGTATAATTAGCAGCAAATCAACTCTCTTGTTGCAGCTTCTCAAAAATAAACTTTTGCTGGTGTTCTTGATGTAGCCCTGTGATACTGGCGACCTGTCCAGGGTGTCCCCTGGCTTCGCCCTGAGTCAGCTGGGATAGGCTCCAGTTCCCCCGCGATCCTAATGAGGATTAAGCGGTGTATAGATAATGGATGGATGGATGGTGTTCTTGGTCTCTTGTGACAGTAAATTAAATGTCGTTGGGGTTTGGACTGCGGTTGAGAAAACGAGCAGTTTGAAGGATTAATTTCAGCTTTGTGTAAGTGAGAAAGTTCTGTGCAGAGCCCCTTTTTGAAAGATGGAATCTGCCTGGTACAGTTCATTAGATAAGGAGAGGAAACCCAAATTTTGCCAGCTCCATGCAGGGACAACACAGCTGAAGCTGCTGCTGTTTGGAAATGACACAAGGGTGTCATGCTTGCCAGACAAGTAGAATTTCCGGAATTCCTAATTTTCCCAGTCTCTGGTCGCTCCCCTGTTACCCTCAAAGCAACCCCGATAACTGAAATAACATCTGGCACGTTTGTATATCGAGGAATGTATATTCTTTGCTGCAGATGCACGCAGAGCAGATCGATGCGCTCTGGCTGCTATTTACGCACAGTTTGGCTCCAACAATTCCCCTAATTCCAGGAAATTTATAGTGTGAAGACGGTGTAATGGGTAGCATTAGTTACCACTGAAGAACTAATGGACTGGGAATCGGCAGGAACAAGTTTAGCCACGGACAAATTGCGTGCAAATGTCAATATTCTGGGTGGAAAATGAAGTGCAGCCGAAATCAGCAAAGGGACTCTCTCGCCTTGAATTTTTCTCATTTCTTCCAAGCTTACATTTATTGTAACTGCTCTTTGGTGGTTTGGTGTCAAACTGGTAAAAGTGGTCATTGATTTATTCCACAGTATGCGTGCGTAAATGTGAATTGTTGGAGGGAGGATGGATGAAGCTCAGGTGTTTCTTCTAGATCTGCTGCCGGATGTTTCTCCAGTGCACATCTCTGGAGGTCAAATTCACCTGAATGTTTCATGCCGGGTAAATAAAAGAGTACTTACTTTCCAGGCTTGTGAGTCTCCGCCGGCGCGGACCAGCGCTTTTTCCTACTTTTGTGTTTCCGGCACTCCACGATTACGATCAAACACAAAAGTAAAAGCAGGAACCGGGCGTAACACGGCATGGTGAGTTCAAAAGTCCGGCAGCGAGTCGATCAGCGACGCCTTCAGTCTGCCTGCTGCAAGATGCACTGTGCGCGGAACCATCTTCCTTGTCCGATGCGGGAGGAAGAGTGTTGAGGGGGTCGAGGGGACTGTGGCGAACAAGTGCGCCGGCTGCTTTGCGGAGAGAGAACGGGATGGTGAAGTCTGATAAGCGCTCTGATTGGTCTTCAGACTCCAGAGGGGGCTCAGGAGCGCGCAGCATCAGCACCACATTCGGCGCGCAGCAATAAATAAATAAATAAATACATAAACAGACAAAAAACAAAGCAAAACACATCCCTACTGACGCATCGGGAGGCAGAGGCGGTGAAGGAAGTTAGTCCTCAGAGGAGAGAAAAGAAGGGGGGGGACATGCAGGGCTTAAACTGTGATGTGTGGTGTGGAGGGGGGCTCTGTGGGTTGCCATGGGTACACATGCGTGTGCGCGACGGGCAAAGTCTCTCCAAAGGTATGTTAGAATGAAAAATAATTCACAGATGATGGAGAGTAGCTCTGTGATTGATACATAACAGGGTCTGATCTGTGCTGACAACGTTGTGCTCTGAATGTGGCAGCTGATGACTAGAAAACATCTGTGCACCCTCTGGTGTATCGCTATCAAATATAGTAGTAGTGGTGTTAGGTTCCACTAAAGGAGAAGTGTTATGCTTGGAGCAATGTTTTGAATAAATACATTAAAACGTGATTGATTTAGATTCTAATAAAATATAGACAAACAATAATAATGTTATAATCTGGAAATAACTGGCTTGTATTACCTCCCTGTGGTATAATTTGACTTGATATTCTGCTCAAACCGTTTCCACAGTTTAATTTGACACTTTAACTTGGGAGGCCACCAATAATATCACTGCTGTAGACATCCTGCTATGAAACTGAAAAAGCAGAGACAGAGAGAGAGACAGAAAAAAACATAATTAAAACGCTTAAAGTGGCAGAAATATAGTTTGACTTCAGTGATCAGATTTTTCTCAAACAGCAAAATTATATCCCTATATGTTTTTAGCAGCTATATTATATTATTTCCAAGAGCTTTAATGCAAAATCAAAATGACAAATTAAGAGACCCAGGGCTTCCTTTTTTTTTTATTATTATTCATACTTTTGTAAAAACAGACATTCATAAAACATTTCGGGCTATAGTCTCGGTTTAAGTTATTAAAGCACCTCTCTGGTTGTTGAGTAAACGCTTAAAACACTGCTGTGCATCTAAACTACATATTTAGCAGATCTCATCACTGCCTGCCTTAAATTTAAATAGATGTAAGTATGTGTGTAAGTAAAGTCCGACGTGATCAGCAGGAGCAACAGTCAACTACAATCTGTTGGATTTTAAGTTTGAAGGTGGTGAGTGCAGTCAAAGTTGCAAGTTTGAGGGTGCCTTGTAAGGTGTTCCAGTCATGAGCTGTTGCAAAGTGAAAAGAGTTACGGCCAAAAATAGTAGAAGTATTGGGGATAATGAGTTTGATGCATTCACTAGACCTAGTACAATGAGAGTTATGGGCGACGTGAAGAAGAGAGGACAGGTAGGGAGGTGTCTTGCCCAGAATTGACTTGTGAACAAAATGAAACCAGTGGTGAAGTCGCCGAGTATGAAGGGAGGGCCACCTCACCAATTTATAGAGATTGCAGTGGTGAGTGTGGAAGGGTGCATTAGTGACAAAGTGGATGGCTGAGTGATAAAGAGTTCGCCAAAGAGGTCTTTAAGATAGAGAAATGTAAAAAGTATATACACATTACTGACGACAGATGTAGTGAGGATAGGCGTCCCCTATGAAGAGTGACTGTATCAGGGCTGAGAAAGCTTTGGCTCAATTTAACTCCTGGAAACACACTGTCACATGTTCACACCATCCACAGGACTGCTCTGAAAAATGTGATGTACTATTATTATTCTTATACACTATTGCAAAATTTTTCACGTCTCACAAATCTGAACATCATCTTTTTTTCCAGCACGGGACGGTGCGAGGGCATCTTCTGAAGCTGACGAATGGCCCGGATGTCCACATCTGTCCCGCTCTCGGGCTTCTGTTCACTGCAGCTGCCTGCAGTCTGGGTAGGAAAGTTCATGAAAGATGTGAAACTACATTAGAATCCATTGGAAAATAACACTATCTTATCTGATTGTTCAGCATATCTACAATCATTCTCACTCTTGGTTTACTTAGCAAGAACGTTTTTATATGGGGCTTTCTGTACAATTTTCCAAATCTCTTTTCTCATTGAGGACACAGTGTGCCACTCTAATGAAAGAACATCGTCCTTTTCAGATTTCTGACCTTCACCCTCCATCATACGGTTGACAGTTATGGTGTAAGTGCTTTCGGCACTACAGGCTCCCAACTTTACAGTAGTCTCTGTGGAAGCAGAACACTCTGTTCCCACATTCAACAAAGCAGTTTTCATCCCAAGAGATAAAAAGACATTATCCTGTCAAAAATCATGTTTTCAAGATAGAGATTCATCAATAAAAATATATTTCCCTCTTTTAAAAATAAGGTTTGTAAATTTCATGACTGGCTAACCCAAGTGATTGAGGAATGAGATAAAGGCTTCAATACCTTAGTTTGATGCCTTTTGGTTATTTAAGAATTTAAACTGCATCCTTTCTGCCTTTAGAAGCTGTTAAAGGAGCGTACAGGGAATAAAAATCTGCAGAAGAAAACGTGTTTCTTCATCTCCAGCTCTTTTTGTCTGTTTGAACTAAAGAAGTTTAAACATGATACAGATGATAAGTTTAAAGATATAAAAGCTTCCGGGCAAATATGAATCAGGTCCCGAGTCTATCAAAACAAGAGGAGTCTCCAGCTGAACAAAATAAGTGTGAATCTCTTCAAAGCAAGTCTTCATCAGAAAGTCAGAATCATCTCTCAAGTTCTGCTGTGAAAGATTTTGTAGTGATATTTAAGTTGTAAAGACAAAAAATAAATAAATAAACAAAAATAATTTCACTGTGTGCTTTATGGTTTGGAATGAACCAACAGATTACACTGCATGACAAAGCATCAGCATGTTAGCATTTAGCTGAAAGGGGACTGTTCTCTCAACAAAACTCTTATCTATCATTGCCAACTGAGAAATTAGTTCAAATGTCAGACTTACTTTGTTTTTGTGTTGTAAAACTCTCTTTATTCTTCTCATCAGCTTCATTTGTCGTCCTTCTGGTTGGTGCTACTTCTTGGCATCTGCAGTATTATTTGAACTACAAGTGTTGTGCCAAAAAGTGATTATCAGCCAAAAAAAAGTGACTGGAAAAATGATTCTTCCATCTCTGCAATATTTAAATTGCTCTCTGCCCTGGATTATAAACAATCAAGCTGTTTGTACCATTTGAAAAACTATTCTACTTGCAAAAAGTTATCGGAGACCTACATTGCGACTGAAATATTATAAATGCATTAAAATGACCCAAGTTCACTCATGAGTATTTTAAAGATTGTAGCTCATGGATCTACTGCAAAACATATCATTTCTTTATTTTATATACAAAACCCACCTGTAAATCATGTTAAATACAGTCTAAGCAGAGACAGCACAGACCAAACACATATAGTATTGCACACAACCATCCTAAATGTCAGGCCTGATAATGCCATGAACTGTAAACATCACAATTATTTTGTTACAAGAAGCATTTAAATTTCACAGACATTTACTAATGACATAAGGTTGTGTATATTTGTCATGCTATGACTGTTGGACTCAGATAAAAGCAGCTGTATGTGTGTATAATCTGGGCAATGTAGCTCAAACAAGAAGCTCACAATCATTTTTTGGCACAACATTGGCTCTCACCTGCAACAAAGTTAAACCTGCCCACTCCCATAAGATTTGCGTTGGGTCCCAGACTTCCAATGCAGCTGTCCTACACCGATGTTAAAGTGCAGCCTCGCAGAGGCTGCTAACAAGAGTGTAAAAGTCTCAGTTCTGTTTAAACATCAACTAATAAAATCCCACAGAGCACAGTGAGAATTAAATGAAATGATACTGCCGGTTCCACTGACATAAAAGGATGAAGTGTGAGATGTATACAGCTAATTCCTGTTGTTCATAGTAGCTATAGATAGTCACACATTGCTTGAGTCCTGCCAGGTGTTTGTGATTACTCCCATCTGTCATAAAATGTGAGATGACGGGGTATCAGAATGTATTTTATTACCACATAAGGACCTGGCAATTACCTGATCCATCATCAGGATTATTTTAAAGTACCAGCTATGCTACATATTCCCCATTGGACGTGTAATTAGAATGAGACATTATAAAACCTGACACATGGAATACACATTCTTTCTTTTAGGTGATTTATTTTCTGTTTATATCCCAGTATACCAGCCGTGGGCACAATGACTGAAGAGACAGATATGGAGAGGTTCCAATAATATGGATATTCGTAAAAAAAAAATTAAAAAAAAAAAATCTCTGCTGTCTTCACGTAATACCTGAACACCCACAGGTATGAGATGTTGCTCAAGTAGGAGAGAAACACCAGACAGGCTTGTTCCCTCCCTCAACAGGTAGACCGTTGCGACTACCTCTGAGCTATCTGTATGCTGCCAAGTTGCTGTACATGTCAAAAAGCTGTCAGCTATGATGTGCAAAGAATGAATTTAAATTGCTTCCCTGTTCCTGTGAGTCTCATCAGACAGATAAGCCCCTACTCAAAGTATATCAAAGAGGGTAAACGTTAGACAGGGTTTGGGTCTATTTATACAAGCAGAGAGAGGGGAGGAAAAAAAAAAAAAAAAAAAAAAGAGACTGTTTGCATACAGCTTCAGAGAATGCAAGACAAACAAGAGATTAATGCACAGGGACGTGTTGTGAATACCATGAAACAGCAGCGGAGACGGAGAGAGGAGCAGTGACGGAGGAGAGATTTAAATGAATGGGATTACAGTGTCCACAGAAAAAATGACTTCCTAATGGAAACAAATAAAAATCTGCCGTAGGCGTGAGAGCGGGGAATCAGATGGAGAATATACTGTTGCAAGTACACAGCGCCACAACTGCGTGTTTGGCAGACTTTCTGAAGACCACGTCTTGTTTACTGGTGCAAATAATCCCTAAAATTATCTCACCAGTAAACGTTGCCATGGCAATAACAGTTCAAAGCTCTCTGCCCCGATGCTGTTCTTGAGTAAACACGTCAAATTCAACAGATCCCGGATCAGTCAACTCATTCTCTGTGTAGGACTGCTGAGAATTATTTACACTGCAGGCTCTGTTTTGGGGGAAGCACAACAAGCAGTGCAAGCAGCGCTCTCCAACACTTTGGCATACATAGGATGTTAACATTTTTACTCGCACTTGTTGCAGGTGGTAGTTTCTTTATCCTTTATCCTCTGAACTCCAAGCAGTTTCTGAGCCATTTTTCTGTTTTCTGTTTAGGCTATATCATAACAAAAAAAATAAAAACAAAAATTAAATTTCTTTAATTAGTTATTTTTGAAAACTTGAAAAAACCTAGAGTCACCATGTACAACAAGTGTCCACAGGTGTTAGCAAGGCTGACAAAATAAGCTTTAACGCTACAAAATACAGATATTTTACTACATTTTTAATTTGTTCCCCTATTTACCACCAAACTGTACTCTGTAAACACAGCCTTGCAGTGCAGTCCAGCTGAAAAGTAGCTGAAATTTGGTCATGTGACTGTTGGTCACAGCGGAGTCAATAATGGCTTCTTAGTTGAGCAGATGAGTGCATAATTTTGTGGTTTTTACAGAATCTGATCAGAGAAAACTATTCATTTTTCCCAAATTTTAAAATGAGACATGTAGAAAAAAAAGGGAGGGATTTTGATAAAGTATCATAATATTAAGCTTTGATCTAAGCAATGTCTCAGATGATTAGCCTGCTGATTGTCAAGAGGTTGAAAATCTGACGATTCTTTCCGTTTTTACAGTTTTTATCTCTGTTATATGCTGTCATTTTGTTGATTTTTTTCAAAAAGTGTATCTTTCAAACCCACCACTGGGTTCTAAAGTTCAGATGATTAAAAATAGGCAGCACAAAGCAGCTTGTATTTTGTGGGCAGAACCACATTCTGTCTGGTGCAAAGTCCCTATATGCTTTGTCATTCTGTCAACAAGCAATTTCAATAAATACATGCTTAAAATTGTGAATAAACTAGTTTAATTACACACTCCGACCAATAGATGTATTTAAAACGTTTTTGAAATAGGAAAGTTTAATGTGATTATATGTTACAGAATATTCTGTGGCCACATTAAAAGCATACTTAATCAATTTAGCGAAACACTCCTGCAATTCTGTCAAAGTTACAATGGGGAGTTCAAGAGGGGCGCCATGCTGAATAATTGTTTGCACCACACACAGAATGACACAGATTGCTGTTGGCATATGAGAGTAATACAGGTGATTTTTTTCCAATGAAACACATACTTGCTCTGCTCGAAATTAGCGGTATGTGTCTGCTTGGATTTGAAAGTTTAGTTCAACTCGGAAGGTCTCTTCTTTATGTTGACTTACCCCTGACTGCAGCAACAACAGACCAGACTTCACACAGCATCCTCTGGAGACACAACAGGCTTTATGCTACTGTTTCCAAACATGCGCCAGCCTTCCCCAACACCTGGAAACACTAGGATATGTAAAATCCTTTAGACTCAGGAGGTGCTGTGAGGATACTGTCGCACTTCTACAAGAAACCATCATTATTAAGCAATATTCAAGGAGTAAGCGCTGTGCCTCTGTTGAGAAAAGCCTGACAATACTTGGATTATTTTTCTGGGTATTGTAGATAATAGCCTGCGTCAGATTTTGTGACCTTTGTCTTGACTGTTCACTTGTACGAGATGTGGTAACATTCCTGTAACAGAATCCCTCAATGATCACAGAACAGCATGTGCACTACAAATATTGGTAAATCCCTCTGCATGTATCTATAGATGAATATGGATGATTCTTACAGTATATGTTATCCACTAATGTTTTACGCTGCATGGAAAAGCTTCAGTCCATTAAATCCCTGCAGCCATCTGAAGGCAGCAGGACGCATGTGTTGATAAATCTGCAGCCTTTGATTTGAAAGCTTCTGCAACACACACCTCGACACACACGACACCGGTCAGCTATAACCCAGCATTCTGTCCGTGGTGGATTACTCATTAATCCTGTGCATCCCTGCCTGCTTTCCAGCAGTCAATTACAACATGATCAGTTACAGCTTGAAAAACACTCGAATTAAGACTGAAGAGACTCACTGTGCTTCCTGCCCTTATGCCATTACAGCAGAGCCCGGTATGTTGTTACTGAGCTGACCTGGCAGGAAGTTAAAACACATGAAAAAGCCGTTATAGCACATGCACTCAGTGCAGATGCTTCCATGATTAAATAATTAGACTGAGACAACAATCCCCCATAACTGCACGTTGTTGTCATATTATATTAAAGTTTTAATTAAATAATGGGAACAAGCGGCTGCCCTAGGATAGACAACAATTACATGGAAGGGGACATGTGGTGTGTGTGGCTGCTGAACTCATCACAAACAACAAAGGTTCCCGTTCTTAAAAATGCATGACGCTCTGGAGAGTAAAATTCACATTGATTAAAAGACACCCCGGAGGTGTTGTGGAGAGTGGAGCGCCTCCTCCGCAGGAATGAAAGTTCCCCCTCAGTGGAGATTGAACCCTCTGCTGATGAGCAGGGAGGGCAGAAAGTCAGTGTTAGCCACTGCCTCGGCTCTGGTTCCACTTCAGCTGGTCACAGTTCTGCAGGGGCGGTAGCAGAAGGGGTCGACTCGGGGTTGAGGTCACAAATCGTAGTCAAACTTATACTCGTGCGCCAGGTAGATTCTGCGGAAGATGAGCGCGGCCAGAGCTAGAGTGAGCACCACGATGAGGACTGCCGAGCCGGCGTGGCTTTCGTCCTGAGGCTGGCGAGCAGCCGGGACGAAAGCCGGTCTGCTGGCCGCTGGCTCTCTGCCGTCTCTCTGGCCCTGCTCTCTGTGCTGCTGGGAGCGACGCTGCCGGGGGCTGAGAGGACGACCGGAGCTGCTGCTGCTGCTGCTACTGCTGCTGCTGGTCCGGTGTTCATCTACACCTGCGGCTGGAGACTCCTCTGCCTGTAGACGAGGATGACATTAAGAGGATCACTGAGACAACACTAGACAAAATAATTAGTAATCAGCTACACCTTCTGTCCTCTGGAGCTGCTGTGTTATGTTCAGGTTGTGCTACAGCTCTATCATCACTCTGCTACTCTCCACTGGAAACATGAGTGTCTGTTCTTTAGCAGACACATTTCTAATAATAGCTTCACTGTTGTGCCAACATACACACATAAATACATTTTTGCATCTCATTTATTTTAGAGACCTCTTCCCCTCCGTGAACTTAGCAACCCGTAACCTGAACTTTTAACTGTTGTCTCGGGTTTTGATTTTGTTTACACTGTCCTCTACCCAATTTCAAGGCAACACCCAGCAGCAATATTATGGAGGTGATACTAAATCCAGTTCTTAGTATTTACAGTGTTAGAGGTTAGGGTTATGGGCTTGCAGAGCTGTTGCCTGAAGCAGGTCAAGCAGATGTTGCTCGTAATATGTCAAACAGATGTGTTGTGACATCTCAACTACAACAAACACATTGCAGAGTAGCAACCACCATTTCACCTCTTTGTTTTTTAATGAACAACAACAGCGAACACGCACACTTACTTCCCGGTTTGTAAAATACATTCGAAAAGTAAAGCAGAGTAGTCATTAAGTTACCACAGCATAAAGCAGCTTTAGATGTGTGTAACCGATGCCACGTGGCTGTCATTTATTCCGTTATTAGCTTATTGTCCTACTCCACCTTGTCTTTCATCTGTAGCCTATTTCTCTGAACAGCCTATGTAGAGTAGCACACATCCACATTAAGCCAGTAAAGCTATAATTCCGTATTTTTCTATCCGTTTCAGTCCTCTGACCTCAGTCGGGGAGCGTAAATCTCATGCAAAAGCAGCTTTCGTGATCACTCATTTTACGTGTCAGCGTAGGCGATCGCACAGCACAGCGCCTCTCATTAAACTGTATTTATGCTGATTCTGTCATACGGTGAAATCAGCAGCGAAGCCAACACCTTGGAAACGACTGCAGGCTAAAGGAACTTAGCTGCCTGAGGACACTGATCATAAGACATTGTAACTCTGATAACTGACAGTCATTTTTTTTTTTTTTACACCAAAAAATCATTGGTTTAAATGTCTTAAATGTGAATGTTTCTGTTTGTTTTAATCTTCTATGGTGGTAAACTCACTATGTCTGAATTGTTGGTTGCACAAAAACAGATATTGAAGCTCTGGGAACGAGTGTGGAGTATTTTTCCACTATTCTCTGACATTTTACTTTCCATACACCCAACTAATTAATTGAGAAAACAGAATAGAAAGAAAGCCATTTCAAACATAATGGCAAAAAAAGTAGTACAAATAACCAATAAAATGAACAGTAAACATGCAGGAGTTGTCCTCAATTTGTGCTTATTTGTGCTTATTTATGTTAACACCTCCAGTCACCATGTGGCACTTCTTTGTTTTCGTCTGACAATTGAGGGCTGTATATAAAGAAGAGAAAGTGGAGCAGCATCAGGTGCTTCTTATTAATCATGACGCAAACAGATCTTTTGGCAGCACGTCTGTGCAAAGTTTTATTTTGATGCCTTTTGCACGTCTTATTGTTATGGATTTATATGAATAGTTTTGAAGTCAACAAGTGGTGAGCTGAACCTTTGCTTAAGAAAACTGAACTCTGAGGACAAACGGAGCATTTGTTGAAAGCACACATCATTAAAAGTTTGCCAGGTACAACTGCTTAGTGGTGTTTTCAAAAGGGTAAATAATCACCACAAAATATGAACAGCAACTTCTCAATAAAGAAAATAAATAACTACTTGTCAGTGCATGTCTGAAAAGAAGTAGGCAGGACTTTTCCCTTTATTATAACTCAAATAACCTCATCAGTGTATATCCTATATACATTAACTTTATCAACATCCAGATGCCAGTCCAACAGCAACATCAACAACAACAATATGAGTCACAGTCCTGAGTGTAACCAACTCTCTGCATCTTCCACATCTTTCTGAACTGATTTATATTTATGCTTTGCTTGACATCTAACATCGAAGCATTCCACAAATTCATGCTACAAATTGAAATACACATACTCTTCAGAGTGGTGCGGTGAATTCTTTATTTTTTGCTTTAAAATTCTATTTCCTTCTTTCTTCTCTCTGCCAGAAAACCTTATTTGTCTGTTGGCAGGAAAAAAATTATATCTTACTTTGTACATTATTTGAGCAGTCTCAGACTGCACGAAGAACAAAATGCTAAGAGTGTTCTCATAATGCTGCATTGTTTACTAAACTTACAGCTATTTTTCTATAGTATGCATAATGATTGCAAGATGCTTTTGTAGATGTTTGCCGACACCTCCGCACAGTAATTTAGATGCACTAATATGGGTGAGCAATACATTGTATAATGCTTTATGATTCAGGATGTATCTTGTTTTTGCCAGAATTGCAACGTTCCAGGCCAGTTTTCCTTATACATTGGTTATATGAGGCTTCCAGCACATTTTGTGGCCTATCATACTCAGACATCTGTTTTCATATGTTTATAAGGAGCTTTTCCAACATCTTTGACAATTTGGAATGTAAAGACACAGCCCATTATTAGTAAAGTGAAGTCTATCCCCAGCTTTATGTAATGAGATAACTGACAATTTTTGTTTTGCATGGAAATGTACCTGGAAAATTTAAGTTAATTACTTTCTTGACTGTCAATTTACCTGCAGTCAGTAGATGTTCTCTTCTTACACTCATCAACTATTTCAGAAATTTCTTTTTCTTCTACTGCACTAATGATCATTGAGCTCCCCCCCATAATTAGAAAAAAATCTCCTTCTGTTATCTCCGGATCATTAAAAAAATACAAAACAGTTAATCGATATTAGAAATTCCATTGATTACACCCCTGCTTGGCATTAATGTACTTACATACACAAATGCGCAAAAGAGTGCCAGCACAAACGGTGCAGAGATACAGAAAAACAAACCTTGGAAGCACATTTTTACAAAGTTCTGTGTTCGCCATCACTAGAAACTTACTTTTCCTTTTCTGCTTTTTCATAGAAATTTTTAATTCATGAGCTTCCTGGATCAGCACATTAAAAACTAAAACTCTCGTTCATCACCATCAATACTTCAAGTTAGTTAAAGATAAAGTTAGGAATCTCCTGTTCATTTAAAGTGAAAAGTGCAGACAGCATGAGTCTCTGGAGGGCAGGAGGGCTATGAGGGAGATGACTAACCAATGAGCAGTGCTGATGGCCTCAGCTTTTGCACAGGAAACATACATTTCACCCAATTAGAGGATGGCTGGAGGGAGGCTGGAGAAACTGGGGGGGAGGGGGATGGCAGTAAACAGTGCACAGTCATCATACATCCCGCTGTACTCTGTACAGCAGTGAGGGATACCATGGGCCAGCCTGTCTCATCCTGGAGTTTTAAGTCTTTTCCCTCCAACTCCAGCAGCAGATGGTGAGTACTATTTCTGACATGGCCCCCCTCAGTATATCCAAATACAGAAACCCTGATCTAAGCTGACCCTCCTCTCTGCTCCTTCAGACTTTGTCTGTCTCTGTGATTCTCTGGGTAGCAGCTGGCGACAAAATCAATCCTCTTAGGCAACAAAGCTCACCCATATCATCAGAATTGGTGAAGAGAAGCTGTGGAAACACAGGCTTCGAGCTACCGCAGCACATCCACTATGATGTTAAGGGAGAAAAGTGATGTCTAGTTGTTTGATTTCACACACTAACTCAGTGTAACCAATATAAATGGCATGAAGAATTATATCTGTTCATACACATGGAAATGATTTTGGAGCTCAGTAGGATGTCAGCAGGTGATGAAGCTTGCCACCAATTAAAAACAACACTGTGAAAATTGGGAAATTGACTGCATATACACAGCACTATACAAACTTGTGATTGTACACTGTGGGGCTTCCGAACACCCACTATTTCGTCCAACATTTTGAAGGTGAAATAGACTGAAAAACAAACCAGTCAATCCTGAAAAAAATTTACTTTTGTTAACAGTGGAAGAAGAATTTTTCCAAATAATCCTTAGCACTGTAAGTATTCGGACCCATTCAGCTTTCACACACTTTATTGTGTTCTAGATATGATTTTAAACTGATTAAATTATATATATATATTTCAAGTCAATCTACACTCAACAGCTCATAATGACAAAGTGAAAAAAAAAAAAAAGGAAATTACTTATACCGTCAACACTGATCAGGACGTTGTTATGGTAGATTTGGATTTGCAGTTGTTGCATTACTGTGATGACGTGTTCATTTGACTGGTATATAAAGGATCAATGTCCAGAAAGTAGAGTCATCTAGTTGCAGAAATTGAATATTTTATTTATAATTATGCTTTCATTAGTGCATTATTACCTGTTGCTATGAACTGTTGTTTTGTTAGCTTATAATGGGCCTGTGATATCCTCGTACACCATGTTTCTACAGTCCTCCAGAACAGACAAACCAAACACTGGCTCTAGAGAGGGGCTTTCATGTTTTCATACTAAAGTGGCAGCCACTGTAGGATTTCCTACACACTTAGAAAGGGAAGAGTATTCTGTTGGTTGCAATCTGTTAACCTCACTGCTAGATTCTACTAATCCTACCTAAATCCCCTTCATCATGATATTTATTAGCTTTACTTAAAATGCCTGAGTTTTTACACATAAAAGGCTTAAGTCTCTTGTGATATGCTCAGTGAACTTGAGAGGATGTTAGGCCTCTTCATATTTTGGATTTGATGAATGCTTGACGAGAATTAGCAGTTTCCCTTTTCCTCCCTGCTCTCTTCAAATTCTCTTCAAAAACAAAAAAATAAATAAAACTTGAGTGGTGATGGACCCCAAGCATCAGAGCTCTTGTTTCTTTATTACTCACAAATCAAGCAGATTCATGTCACTGAATCTCCTTTTCAGCAATTACTGAAATGCAAAGCGGTGGCATTAGTTACACCTGCGTTTTGTAAGTCAACAGAGTCAGTTTTTGTTTCATTCTTCCTCTGGCCATGTATGACTCATCTACAGTGGCTCTGATATGCAACGAACACATAGTCTTAGCATCAGAATGTGGGTATTTCTCAGAAAGGAAAATTTCTCGTTGTTGGGCATTCGCCTACAAATCACATACGCTTCACATTATTGCTGGCAATTTTCCAAAACATAACCCAAAGGATAATTCCAGTTGATTACAACTTGGATTCTATCTTCTTGTTCTGGCCATCATTTCCATGCAGAATGAAAACAATTTACTCACCAAAGCAGTAAATGCTGAAATCTGGGAACAGAATATGCTTTGAACTAGAATCAGTGCCTCAAGGTTTGTATTCTTTCTCCAACTGTTCAAGTTTTCACTTCATATCTGTGTCTATACAGACCTGACCTTTTGGATATAAAATGTCATCATTTCATTGTTTTCTCAATTTTTTTGTGAAATTTTCTCAAAATTAGTATGCAAATTCTTGAGTCATGGCCAAATAGAATTACCTCTGCCAGTCAGCAAAGTTGACGTTTACATCCCTGTCTGTCTCAATTCATCCAATATGTGGTGAAGACTTTGAAGGAATTCAGTAGGGGGACATCCAAAAGTAGTATTTTTGTAGAACACTACCTTACAGTGACGTTAACTTTTGATTTTCTAGATATAAATCGCTTCATCATTTTATTCTAATCAACATTTATTCAAACTTTGTTTAGATTAGCATATGACTTCTTTGGTAAAAAAAAAAAAAAACAAGCTTTGTGAGGCCACAGTGACCTTTAATCAGTTTAAAGTGACAATCTAATTTCTTTGTTGTCAAACTGCTTGTTCTCTTTAGTGCCATAACCACATTAGTAGATCTCAGCAGATAAACTGATCAACACCATGCTCTAATATCACAGGTAGATGCAATACTACAAATGCAAAGCCCTATTTGCATTAAATCTGAATTACCTGGGTACCTTGTGTGGTTTAGAAATAACTCGCCCGAGACCTTGGCTCGTGTGGCCCTTTGCACAGAATATGCGAGGTGTGCATTTTGTTCAAATGCATTGATTTTATCTGCAGATATGATATTAATAGGCTGCCATGAAATAACTATTGAGGCTATTGAAAGAGAGAAAAACGTTCCTTGCAGCATGTTATCCATCTATTCATTCTTTGAAATTTTGCTATTCCGAGGTTTTGTGACTGGAGTCTGCATGCTGTGTAGTGACATGAGCCTCATGAAATTGAATCCAAAATGTTGTTCAAATTTTTATCTGTATTTGTCAGCGCAGCCTCCATAATACTTGTGCAGAAAGGGGATGAAGAATGGTGTGGAAAAAAACAACAACCTTGCAAAAATATGATAAAAACATTCAAAAATATCCCATATCCCAAACCCTTATCACAGAAATGCTGAATCACACAGGACTAATACTATCACAGGACCTCAATATTTGGTAATTAGTGGCTGAAGTTTTACTTTATAAATTAAGGATATGGCAGATTTGCACGGCATTATAATGACCTCCACAATATTACACATTCTTAGAGGCCCCCAGTTAATGATAGTCTTGTACAAACAGGGCTTAAGACCCAATTTTTTAACAAACCAGAATTATTTCCATTTTTACAGGGCTCTTTTCCTACGAGTGAGCTGTTTGTTTGGATCCATATTAAGTTTTACTTTGGCAACAACTACTTTTTTGGGGGGTACAGGGACCTTTTTTAGAATAGCACAGTATGTTACAGTACAATGTCAGTGAGGTTTGAGACATGGCTGAGATGTGGAATCGGGCACAGTCAACAATTCAGAATGTAAACTGAGCCAAAACACACTGTATTATCACAAAAGCTATTCAACTTTAAGAAACGGTTCAGTATTCACTGTGAAACTATCTAAATTATGTTTCAAGTGCTGATTTTAATAGCACACTAAAGTAAACCCAGAGGATGGTACAGCCATCTAAAAAACAGAATGCTTTGTGAAATTGTTATCAAGCAATTCATTTGTAGCTGATAGACTAAAACATATGAAACCATGGGGACAGTTCGTTCTGTAGGCGGTGGGCCGGCTGCAGGCAGCTTGTGCGCCGTCCTGTGTAATCCTAGAGTGGCAGTAAAACACCTACCTGTTCAGCCAGGGGCCGTTCAACAGCTTCCTGGCCTGCAGATGTGGAGGTGTCTCCCTGGGTGAGCACTGAAGGATCACTTTCTGCGCCTCCACTTTCGCTAGCTTGTCTGGATAAACTGGACTCTGCCTGTATGGATACACAGGGAAAGGCAGTCATCTGCAGCGTGCTATGGCTCCTGTCACAGGACTAGAAATGATTACCTGTCACATTTACTTCCATAACATACTGTTTGTACACACGTGGACAAAATTGTTGGTACCCCTCGGTTAATGAAAGAAAAACCCACAACGGTTACAGAAATGACTTGAATCTGACAAAAGTAATAATAAATAAAAAAAATTCTATGAAAATTAACCAATGAAAATCAGACACTGCTGTTGAACCATGGTTTAACAGAATTATTTAAAAAATAAACTCATGAAACAGGCCTGGACAAAAATGATGGTACCCTTAACTTAATATTTTGTTGCACAACCTTTTGAGGCAATCACTGCAATCAAATGACTTCTGTAACTGTCAATGAGACTTGTGCACCTCTCAGCAGGTATTCTGGCCCACTCCTCATGAGCAGACTGCTCCAGTTGTCTCAGGTTTGAAGGGTGCCTTCTCCAGACAGCATGTTTCCGCTCCTTCCACAGATGTTTTGTAGGATTTAGATCAGGGCTCATAGAAAGCCACTTCAGAATAGTCCAATGTTTTCCTCTTAGCCATTCTTGGGTGTTTCTAGCTGTGTGTGTTTTGGCTCATTATCCTGTTGCAAGACCCATGACCTGCAACTGAGACCAAGCTTTCTGACACTGGGCAGCACATTTCTCTCTAGAATACCTTGACAGTCTTGAGATTTCATTGCACCCTGCACAGATTCAAGACACCCTGTGCCACATGCAGCCCCAGAACATAACAGAGCCTCCTCCATGTTTCACAGTAGGGACAGTGTTCTTTTCTTGATATGCTTCATTTTTGCATCTGAACATAGAGCTGATGTGCCTTGCCAAAAAGTTCCAATTTTGTCTCGTCTGTCCATTGGACATTCTCCCAGAAGCTTTGTGGCTTTTGTGGCTTGTCAACATGCAGTTTGGCAAATTCCAATCTGGCTTTTTTATGATTTGTTTTCAACACTGGTGTCCTCTTTGGTCGTCTCCCATGAAGTCCACTTTGGCTCAAACAACGACGGATGGTGTGATCTGACACTGATGTACCCTGACCTTGGAGTTCACCTTTAATGTCTTTAGAGGTTGTTCTGGGCTCTTTTGTTACCATTCGTATTCTCGGTCTCTTCCATTTGTCATCAGTTTTTCTCCTGCGGCCACATCCAGGGAGGTTGGCTACAGTCCCATGGATCTTAAGAGTGCATCCACGATAGGACCAGGCGGGGGTGGCACAAGCCATCTCACCGATTTCAATGAAACTTAGCCAGTTTAAAGGGGTCCACCCAAAACTACTTCAGTCTAAGTTTAAGGAAATTTGGTCAAACTGGGGGGATTTCACCACCCCTCCTTGTTTTTTTTT